GCGCACTGACCACCAGGGGGCAGACGCTCAACACAGGAGCTGCTGAGCTGGTGACTTGGCAGCTGCGGTTCTTGGATGATGCACCCAGAACCAGAGAGGAGGGAGCCCGATTCTGGGGTGCATGACCCGAGAGCTGCCCTATTGAAATCCGGGACCCCTCAAGGGATGTTGGAGAGCTGGTTTTGGCCCGATCTCCACAGGCCAGGCCGAGGGAACCCCCCCACTGGTGCACAAATCTGTGCACCGGGCCTCCAGTAAATAAATAATAAATTTTAAAAATTAACAAGATCTAACCCAATCTAGGCAAGGGCCTAACCACAACTCACCATCTATGAGCAGGGGGTTGTTAATGTAACGGGAGACCAGGATGTTCTCTTCCAGGGAAATCTGGTTTGGCTATTGAGTAAAGAGAAAGAATGAAAGGACAGAAATGCAAAGGAACCCTAGCTTACAGTACGGGAACAACGTTCTTAACCTTTGAGAAATAACAATGTAGAAACTAAAACTCTAAGAAAAGTTTTCTTCCAAGCTACCCATACATTCAATTGGCCACATAACACACCACTTCCATAAACACTGTAGGTATCCAATTACAATGAGTGGAAATAAATTTATACAGCATCTCTCACATAATAAATCAAGTCTAAATAGCTTTAGAGATTTCTATACATGATATTAAATAGTTACATGCCAAGAAAATAAAAGCTACTTAAAAATAAAAACTTGCTTTCTCCCAAACGTAAAGTATGATGCAAATTTTTAAATGCTACTGTTCTTCTTAGATGAAAGCTTTCATCAAGTTGCTTAGAGAATTTACAGATCTTCCCCCTGTGAAACGGGATGGATGTTTCATTGACTCACTCAATGGTACTTGCTATATCGCTATATGTCAAGAAGGAACTAGATGTTTAACATTTTTTTCAATTAAGAGTTGTTTTTACAGTAAGTAATTATGAGTATTGCTGGATAGCATATAAGGCACTGGGGAATACTGTGATGAAGTAAACAGATAATCCCTGCCCTCAGAGCCTACTCCCTACTCCCAGAGTTTAATATTTACGTAGAGGGACAGCAAAACAGATAACTTACAAGAACACAAAGGAGCATATCTGCAAGTGGAAGATATGAGGCTGCAAAGTGGAAGAGCAGTTAAGTGGGACGAGTCAGGGAAGAGTAGGTGTGGAAGTGAGTGCTGAAAGCTATCACCCACGTGGTGGAAGGGACAGGAGACCATCATGGGAAGACGGCGTGCACTAAGTACCACAGAACAGAGAGTGGGCAGATTCACTGACCTGGGCTAGAAGACTGAACTGAGAAATAATGAGAGATAGGGTTAGACAGTTAGGAGGAAGGGACCCACTGGCAAAGGGATCTGGACCTCTGGCAAGGCGAATTTAGGTTGAACATGGTGGAAAACAGGAAATGACTGTGGAGTCTTGATTAAGAAAATAGTAAGGTTAAAATATCTGGAACAGAACAACTCTATGTGAGATTAAATTAAGGCAGAAGTCAGCTGGAAGTCACCACAAACCAAACAGGACAAAGGACTCTAAAGGAAAGTGACAATAGTAATAACTGTGGTTATAATAGCTACAGCAGCAGCAACAGAAATAACTATTAACATCTGCAGCAAAATATGAAATTTTAACCAATGTATTGAACATTTACTATGTGTTGTTCAAATTCTTCACAAGTATTATTTCGTTTAATCCTCACCTAAGTCCATGAGGTAGGTATATCACCACCCAAATATTAGAGATGAGGACAGTCAGAGAGAGTTAGGAGCCTGCTCAAAGTCATACAGCTAAAAAGAGATCAGGAGGTCTGCCTCAGAGGCACTATTCACATCTTTCCCCAAAGTTCTGAACTAAAAATAATTGTCCCCCAGATTCAAAAGTTTGTCTTCATAATAATGCATTTCTATCCCAAATACTACAGTTATCATAAAATAGGGATAGTCTTGTGATACAACATTATACAGCCACGATGAGCAACTCCAGAGTCAGGATGATGAGATTGCCCGCTCGCTTCCCACTGCTACTATCTCAAGCTCAGAGCACAACTTTCCCAGCCTATGCATCATATGGACACGAGGACACCAGTGCTGATTCATCCTCAGGGACTCAGTCACCCACACCATTTCCTGACTCCCTTACATTCCTTGATCAGTTTCTCACAAGTACTATCTCAGCAGCGTAGTAAGAACTGATACAATCACAGTACAAAGCAGCAAGCTGCAGGCTGTGTTCCAAAACTAAACAATTGCAGCTCTCTTCCAAGTGAGTAACACCTATAGGCTACAATAGATGTCTGAGCACTCAACTTTCCCGCGAACCAGAGAACACGCTGCAAGGGTCTTCCCTCCATGACACATCTAATGTTCATGGCCATTTCCTCTCTTTCCTGCTTCATAATACATATTTATCCTTTGAGTTATGTATAACATAATCTCTTACATTATTTGTTCAATGGTCTATAGCTCTCATTTTTATCTGCATTAGGAATCAAATTGTAAGCTCAGAGAAGAAAAGAATGGTTTGGGTATAGTTTCCTTATATACTATTATCTATACTAATAAAAGGGTAATATGCTAATTAGACCGGGTCGACTGGACATCTTCTGGACGT